TTAGTTGTTTCCTAGTTACTTTTTTTTTTTTTTTTTTTGAGAAGTGTTATAAGGGTTATTTCTAGGTGGCAAGTATGTTTGTTTTCTGTCTTAGTTGCTACTTGTGGATTTGTTGTATCACTTTCAGAGATTGTAATGTTTCTCTTTCAATTTATTGAGATCCTTTTTGATGGGATACTGTTTGGTCACTTTTTGTGACTGTTTCATAAACACTTGGTGTATTCTCTTTCTTTTTTCTTAAGTACATAGTCTTATTAATGAAAACTGCCTCCTATATAGGTTTTCTGTAACCTAAGAGCACAATATATTTTCACTTTTTCCTATATGACTTTTAGTTTTATTTTATGAATGTCTTTGCTATTTGATACATAGATATTCCTGTTAATAGCTTCATTGTTAACACATCCTTTAAAAAATCATTAATTTAAAAATAATTATAGATTTCATATAAAGTTGCAAAAACAAAATGTACAAGTAGGTTGCATTTATCCTCCAGCCTCCCCCAATAGTAACATCCTGATTGACTGCAGTAAATTATCACAACCAGAAAATTGACATTGGTTCAATCTACACACTGTTCAGATTTCACCAGTTCTACAGGCATTCATTTATATGTGTTTCATATTTCTATGCATTTATCATGTGTGTTGCTTTGTGTAACCATCCCACAATTCAGATCCAACTGTCCCATCACCACTAAGGGTCCTTTTTACTACTCTTTTTATAGCCACACCTAGTCTGCTCAATATGCCCCATTTTTAACCCTCACATCCCATTAATCTGTTTTCCATTTCTACAATTTTGGTATTATTTCAAGAAGTTACAAAATGAAATGCGTAGTATTTAACCTTTTTTTTTTTTTTTTTTTGCACCGGGAATGCAACTCAGGTTCCTCTGGTTGTCATACAGGCACTGCACTGCTGAACTACATTCCTGGTCCAGTATATAACTTTTTTCTATGGTACTCAGGATTGAACTCAGGACCTTGTGTTTGCAAGGCAGGCAGGCAATGGAACCACTGAGCTAAATTCCCAGCCTGTTTATATAACCTTTTGAAATTGGCTTTTTCACTCAAATGTGTGAGAGTGTGTGCATGTGTGTGTGTGCATATATATATATATATGTATACTTTTTTTTTCCCCTCTGGTAGTGGGGATGGAAGTCAGGACCTTGCACTTGTGAGGCAGGCATGGTGCCACTGAGCTAACTCCTGGCCCCTCAATATATATAATAGATGATGTTTCTCACTCACTGTATTTGTATTTCTTCATCTTTGTCTTTGTCATCTTTGTATTGGAGATCAAACCAGGGTCTTCTAATGCTGGGCAAGTTTCTTGCCACTGAGCTACATCCCTATTTTCTTTTTTTTTTGGTGTTATTTTTTGTTATTATGTGATCTTGCTATTATTCCTAGGCTGGTCTCAACTTCTTGGGCTCAAATGATGCTTCTGAGCAGTGGGACGACTCAACCTTTTTTAGTCGCTGGGACTAAGGTCCATGCCAGTACCTTAGTGTACCCTTGAGATTCATCTAAGTTGTTCAGTGTATCAGGAGTTTCTTGCTTTTTAGTGTGGAATAGTATTCCATGGTATTAATGTCCACAGTTCAGTTAACCATTCACCTGTTGAAGGACATTTGGATGTTTCTGCTTTTTGACAATTACCAGATAAGGCTGTTGTGAACATTTCTGCACAAGTTTGTATATGAACCTGTTTTCATTTCTCTTGCACATACCCAAGAGTCCAAATGCTGGGCACAGCATATGCATGTTCTTTTTTATTTTTTTCTAAGAAATGCTAAACTTTTGTAGAGTACCATTTAACATTTCCATTGGGTGATATAACTTCTCTACATCCTTGCCAGCATTTATGTTACAACTTTTTTTTCAGTACTGAGGTTGAACCCAGGAATGTTGTGCCATAAAGCTACATTCCTATCCGTTTTTATTTTTTAATTTTGAGACAGGATCTTACTAAGTTGATAAGTTGTTCAGGCTGAGTTCAAACTTGAGATCTTCTTACCTAGCCTCCCAAGCCTTTGGAATTATAGACAGCTCTCTCTGTAATAACTGAGTCCAGCTATTACTGTATTTCATTTGTGTTTTTTAAGACAGGGTCTTACTATGTAGTTCAGGCTGACCTTGACCTCACTATGTAGCCCAGGCTGGTCTTTCACTCATAGTGATCCTCCTGTCTCAACCTCCTTGGTGCTGGGATTGCATTCATGTACCAGCCACACCCAACTCTATCATTATTTTAAAATTTTGACTTTTCTGATAGATGTATAGTGATATTATAGTGGATTTAATTTTCATTATCCTGATGGTAATGATTTTTAATTTATTTGCCATCTATATATCCTCTTCAGTGAATGTCTATTCCTACAGAATTCCAGTTACTGTCTCTGCAGTTCCTTCTCTTTTATTCCATTTTCTTTCTCTGTGCTCTTTTTCTAAATTTTTTTTTCTCAGATTGGCATTATTTGGATTTGTTGTTGGGAAATAGTACAACAGTTCTTCCTTATCTGTGGGTTCAGTTACTTTTGGTCAACCAGTCTGAAAATCCTAAATGGAAAATTGCAGAAATAAACTATTCATAAGTTTTAAATTGCAACCTGACCTAAGTTGTGCAGTGAAATCTCAGGTCACCCTACCCAGGATGTGGGTCATCCCTTTGTCCAGCACATCCATGCTGTACCTGGTTTGTGCTCATTAGTCATTTAATAGTTTTTTTTTAGTTGTCAGATTGTTGAGGTATCACAGTCTCTGTGTCTGTGTTCATGTAACCCTTATTTTACTTAATAATGGTCTCAAAGTGCAAGAGTAGTGGCGAAAAGGAGGCACCAGAACATAAAATATGAAAGGACAGACTGGCACTGGTACTCTGTGGCAATGCTGCAGGTCATGTAGGAAATATCATAGTGTGCATAGGGCTTGTGGATCAGTGGTTTTAGGCATCTGCATATGTGAATGGGTATCTTTTTTGGTACTGGGGATTGAACTCAGGTCCTTGTGCTTGCGAGGCAGGTGGCAGAACCACTGAGCTAAATCCCCAGCCCTAAGAGGGAATTTCTTTATGAGACCTTTATGTTATTGTGGGGTACTTGAGGGTTATGTTAAGTACTGTAATTAACTTTCTTCCTCCTTTTCTTTTTTCCTTTGCTAAGGACAATTATTTTTTTGTTTTTAAAAACCCATTTAGTTAGTTGTACAATACCATGTAGGAATCTGTCACATTATTTGGTGTTTTCATTATCATAAAAATAGATCATCAAGGGATAAAAATTGTATTTATTACTGTATAACAAATTGCCCCAGCATTTGTTAGGGCTAGAACAACATATGTTTAATATTTCCTTAAGAGTAGGAACATTAATAGCAGCGTACATAGCTGGGTGATTCTGGCTCTGTCATTTTTTCTTATATGAATTGTAGTTGGTATTTGGCTAGGGCTATATAGTCATTCCAAGGCTTAACTATATTTGCACAGTCACAGCAGATAGTCATTGCAGAACCCTTTTCTTCTGTTACCCAGTCTTCAGCTCACTGCTCTCTTTTTGCCAGTATCAACACTTTCTAATTCTGTTCTCTTCCCTTGAGGTCTTTTTCTCTTTATCAGGGCATGTCTTGTAAGTCTATATTTGGATTATTTTTCTTTGTGTAATCCCAGGAATTACAAATCATGCCAAAGCCAGTTGTTTTGCCACTTCCAAAATGGGTTCTGAATTCAAATAAAAAGATAACATCTGGTATAATCTTATACATTTTGGCTAAGTTTACTTGAATCTAATTTTTAAGGGGACACATACACAAACACATACAGATACAGTTGTTAGACTTCATTTGTTGACTGGATATCTTCCAAAGACCTTTGTTCCTTACCACACAGGCTTTCCATGGATTTCTCTGTTTTCATGTCATGGCAGCTGGCTTCTCTCACAGTGGAGAAGCCAAGAGAGAGAAAGAATGAAAAGAGAAGGCCCCAGATAGAAGCTTCAGTCTTTTATAACTTTAATCTAAAAGCAACATACTGTCAGTTCTGCCATATATTATTGGTCACAGAGACTAACATTGGTGAGAGAGGACTACAAAAAAAGCTGAGTAAGGAATCACCAGTGACCCCCCTTGCACAATGACATCCCAAAACAATAACACTGTATTTCAAAGTGAAGAACTATTTTTCATACTTATATTCTTAATTTATGTCTAGAAACAGTGTATTTTTATTTAAAAATTTGAGTAGTATGTGTATATTCTGCCATGTTTTATGGAGAAAGAAATATTTTGTTATATTTACATTTGAGAGAAAGCTGAAAAGTTTGTGATTAGGATTATTTTTTGAGTTTTAATTCTTTCAGTAGCATTGATGTCTCACTAGTGCATGGCATAAAGAATTATTTTCACAAAAGTTTTAGAGGAAGATATTTAGCTGAATTTCCTTGTTAAGTATGTATTTGAAGGTAAGGTTTGTTTTGTTTCTTTCCTCCCTCAGATAACTTATTTATTGAATAGAGACGATCCCTCCAATGTTAAATAGTAGGGAAGGAATAGCAATTTCTATTTATATAATGCTGTTACATTTGTAAAAGGAAAACATGCTTTCCTTTCCTGCATGGAAGTAGGTAAGAAAAATTTTTGGAGTTAATGCTTAGCAGGGATTCTATCATAGTTCTTAATCTTTTAAGGTGTTTGTAGACCCCCACTTTGAGATTCATGAAAACAGTTGTTTCCCTAGAGAAATGTGATCATGCACACAAGGACAGTTCTACAATTCAGGGGGCCCTCTAGAAAGTCCTTGGATTTAGGTTGAGAACTCCCTTTAAAGCTCAGACTTCGGATCTTTTTCTCTAATGGAAAGCAGTGCTTTTTAAATTTTCAGTATATAAAGGGAAACAGTATTCCTAACTCTAATTGGAAAAATGTATTTATTTTCACGTTGTATAGTTTCTAACTAACTTATCCTAATGATGGTTTTTGTTTCTGAATTTTGCTTCCATTTTAGCATCTGGAGCATAAGAACAGTGCTTATTTTCTTCTTTTCCAAGAGAATGGAAAGAAATAGTAAGTTTAAGTTCCAAGCTTTTACAATGTATTTTAAAATAATTTAAGTAAGTGTTCTTGTTTATAGGCAGGTTCTAAAGTGGTATATTGGAATGACAATGTACTAAATATTGAAGCAGTGTTCACTATGCCTGTAATAAAAAATATAAAGGAAAAGAAAATTTTGTTACTTATATACATCAACAATATTGTGTATTTTATATGTGACCCAAAGTAATTCTTCACTCAGTGTAGCCCAGGCAATCCAGGAGTGTCCAATCCACAGACTGCAGTTTGGAGATGCCTATAAAAGCATAAGAAAGATTATGATTGATTAAAATAGTTCTACTTTTTTTTTGTACCAGGGGTTGAAATTGGGACCTTGTGCTCACGAGGCAGCCATAGTACCACTAAGCTAAATCCCCAGCAAAATAGTTTTACTTTTAGTTTGTGTTTTTTTCTGTCATGTTAATTTTTTTTTAACCAGAAAACATTTTTTTCCATTAAATTTATTGTTACATTTAAGGTAAGCATTACAGTTACATTCATCATTGGGATCATGTATCTTTACATGATGTATCTTGGTAACCAGAAAACATTTTTAAAAAGTCAAGTTACTGTTAATTTATTTTATTTTTTTGCAGTGATGGGGATAAATTCAGACAAATTTTGTTAAATTCATCTTTGTAGAAAACATTATACAGAGTAAAATACAGTACATTTCTATTGACTTGTTCTATTAATTGTACCAGTTTCTTTAATTTCATAGCCCCTTAGCTATTGTTTCAGTTGAAATATATAAATGATGAAGTTTGTTTAGGTATATGTCCTATGTATATGCAAGTTTTAAATATTTTCAATGTTGAAAATAGGTGTTATCATTAACCAGACATATACATATTTTAAGTGAACTTTCTATATGATTTTTAAAATTTTCATTGTACAAAAACAGACTAAATTGTATGAGTCCACATAAATCTGTCACCCAGTCTAAACAGTTACTAACTCATAGTCAAATTTGTTTCATTTTTATCTTCATCCATTTCCTCACTGCCTACATTATTTTCAATCCCAGATGTCTATCCACAACAGTCTGTTTAAAAATATATAATGTAATGCATTCTTTTACTTAAAATTCTTAATATAATATCAAATATAAAATTTGTCTGCTAAGTGTCATTTACTTAAAAAATGTTTCTTCGATTCAGGATTCAAATCAAGTTTGTACAAATATATGACTTTCACTGTCTACCTCCCTCATGACTTTTCTCTAGCCACTTTAGGGTCAGTGGTATAGCCCAAATAGCTATTTCTTTGCACATACCCTTGACTCTTTTACCCCGTTTTCCCATCCTATGTATCTAACCAATCCTACAGTATTTAAATACAACTATATGCTTAATCCATGGCTGACAAATGCTACTTAAATACATTAAAATGTTTAATCTTATCAGAGCAGCTAAACTTGTTGAGAAAAATCATACAGTATACTGCCTAGACTTTTTTTTTGTTTTATTTTGTTTTGTTTTTGAGATAGGCTCTCACTATGTAATTGAGACTGACCTGGAACTCACTATGTAGCCCAGGCTGGTCTTGAACTCACAGTGATCCTCCTGCCTCAGCCTCCTGAGTGCTGGGATTACAGGCATGCGCCACCACGCCCGGCTCTGCCTAGACTTTTAAATGTGATTGCTAATATCAAATGTGCATTCAGCTCTTGTATATGGCCCTATTACAATTTCCTAATTTACCTTCTTTTTAAGAGCCTTATTTAATACTGTATTTTCCCTTAATCATTAATACTTGTCTTCCCAGCAAAATCCAAAGCAAAACCAAATAACTACATAAAAAATTACAAATAAACCAATAACCCCCTACAAAATAACCTTTCTTAACTCATAGTCTTACTTTATACAGAAAATAGATATAAATAGATGAGAGTTACCTTCAGTACCAAATGTTTGAAGTTAGCTTTGAAGTATGTTTTTGTTTTTCATGGTCTTCTGAAAGATGCCTTGTTCCACCTATAGCTAATCCTCATTTAGATGCTCTGGATTTTAGGTACCCTGACCATCTGAAGAACTTTATTTTTTCTTTTCTCTTCTCTTTTGCATCTGTTCCTATTGGACTTAGGTATAATCTTGCCTCAGTACATGCCATGGGAAGGAGGTAGTGAGCTATCCTGATCTCCTGTTCCTTTTATGCTATACTCCATTTCTATTTCTTTTTCAAAGTAAAATTTCCTAAAATTTTGTTTATAGTCGGTATCTCTTTCTCCTCTACTTATTCCTCTCAACCTACTTTATTTAGGTTTTATATCCACCACTTTTTATTTCAGTGGCTTATTTCAAGGTCACTAATGATCCTATTCATCTATATCTTGTTCAAGCCAATTCTCTTTTTTTAAGCAACTTGATTTCTTAATAGTGTTTGGATTTATTCACTTATCTACTCTTCCTTGAAATGTTTGTGTCTTTAAACCTCTTTGACAGCATTTCGCTATTTTAGTTTTATTTGTATCTCCTCTGTTGTAATACCCTTGGTCTTCTTCTTCTTCTTCTTCTTCCTCTTCCTCTTCCTCTTCCTCTTCCTCTTCTTCTTCTTTCTTCTTCTTCCTCTTCCTCTTCTTCCTCTTCTTCCTCCTCCTCCTCCCCCTCCCCCTCCCCCTCCTCCTTCTTCCTTCTTCCTTCTTCCTTCTTCCTTCTTCCCTTCTTCTTCTTCTTTTTTTTTTGGATTGGGGATCGAACTCTGGACCTTGTTTGCAAGGCAGGCATGGTGCCGCTGAACTAAATCCCCAGCCCAGCTTTCTTCTTTTGGTGATTTAGATTTGTGCTGTTCAATAGAACCCTCTGTGATATTAAAATTATATTTACTGTCCAGTATGCTATCTAGTCATTTTTGGCTGTGAGCATTTGAAATGTGGCTAATGCAGTTGAAGAACTGGATTTTAAATTTAATTCAGTTTAAATTGCCCTATGTGACTAATGGCCATGATGTTGGTAATACATCTCTAGGTGATATTACCAACTCCCACAGGTTTAAATACAATATCAAGTTTTTGTTAATGACCCTCAAGTCTAAATCCCTGGTTCGGACTCTTCCTTTCAACTACAGATGTATACCCAACTCTGTAATTGACATTTCCACTTTGGAGTCCAATAAACATCTCATACTTAACATAACCAAAACAGTTATTCTCACTTCCTTTTCTTCCCACTCTTCCATATCTGTTCCTCTCGGTGTCTTCCCCACATCAGTTGATACATATACTATACAACTAATTGTTAATATCTATATTGGACAGTGTTCTCTAGAGAAACGAAACCAGTAGGAGACATCTGTCTATCTAGTATCTATCTATCTCTGTCTGTCTATCTGAGAGGACTAAATTCTGCAGTTAGCAAGCCAGAGACTCAGGAGTGTTAATATTTTAGTTCAGTCTCATTCTGAGAACTAAGAGCACCAGTGGTATAAGTCCTGGTATTAAAACCAGAAGGTTCAAAACCTGGGCAGAGATGAAGCTTGAGTTGGAATCAAAAGACACAGAGATGGATATCCTAACGCAAAGCAGTTAAGCGTGGAGAGTTCTTTCTTGTGGGAGAAACAGTCTTTTTGCTCTATTCACCTGAACAATGAGAGTTAATTCATTAAGGAGAGCAATCTGCTTTATTTGGTTTATCAGTTCAAATATTAATCTCACTTCAAAACACCCTCCTGGATATCTAGAATTGTATTTGACCAAATATCTGGATATCTTATAGCCTAGTCAAATTAACATAAAATTATCACAAGACTAAAAATCTGGGAGTCATTCTTTATTCTTTTACGTTCACTTACTTATTCATATATTTATATTATTCATTCATATACAGAGTCTGCCCAAAAAATGTATACATCAGGAAAAGAAAAACTTGAATAAATATTTAATACTAAATTTATTGAGACATCATGAGATTAATACAAGTTATCTTTGGTTGCTACAATAACAAGAGGTGCTCAAAGTGGTAGCCATTAGCTTCCAGACTTTATTAGTATGGTGAACTGCAGAAGTGTATGCAATTTTTTGGTGGACTCTGTATTTGTACAACCTTATTTGAATCACTTTTTATCACCTTTTTCTTGAAATTGTCTTAAATATGATCAGTTTTCTCCTTATATACTACTGTTCTAGTTTGTCATTGTCATCTCTTGTTTCCTTTACTCCATTCTTTTTTGAAACTAGTCTATCTTTATAAATCAGATTTTTTTAAAATAAAAAACATTTTTATTTGTATATTTTCATAGTATGTTTATGTTCTTTGCATGGAGTTTTGTTAAATGTATATAACATCTTAATTCCTTTCATCATCCCCTTTCCCTCTCCTTCTTACCCCCTCCCTGATCCCTATTAGAGAAAGATGTATCTCTTTACTTCCTTTTATCTTTTATTTTGTTCTTTATTTATCCTTTGTGTTTCTTATATAAGAGAAACCATGAGATATTTAAGCTTGTGTGTTTTACTTATTTCCCTTAACATTATGGTTTCATGATACATCCATTTTCCTACAGATGACTCCTTTATTTTTCTTTGTGGCAGAGTAGTACTCCATTTCCTTTTTCTGTTCATCTGCTGATGGACACATAGGCTGTGTCAGAGATTTAGCTATTATGAATTGTGCTGCTATACATGGTCATAAAATTAGAAAGTTGAAACTGGATATGGTAGTTCATGCTTGTAATCCCAGCACTTGGGAGGCTGAGTCAGGAGGATTGCTGAGAGCTTGAGGCCAACCTGAGCTATATAGTGAGTTCAAGATCAACCTAAACTATAGAGTAATACTCTTATCTCCCCCCCAAAAAAAATTAAATGGAATATCTCATCCTTTCAGAATTTCTTCATAAAAATAAAAAGTGAAAATGGGGCTTCAGCCAAAGTAAGAGTCTAAGTGACTTGTTTGTGATGCAAAGGAAAGCCATTTACCAATGGTGAGTTAATTAAATTGTGTTTGATTACAGCAGCAGGAGAAATATGTTGTGAGAAAATATATTTGTTTAAGATTAGTAGCCTTTCAGCAAGAACAATTGCTTGGAGAATTAAGAAAATTCAAAGCAGCATAGTCCATTTAAATTAAGGCAAAAAATTTCAGAATTGAGGAGTCACTTCTGAACTTGAAGTGTTAGGAGAATTAGTATATGTAAAACTTCTGTGTAGAACAACTTTTAGGTGAGGCTATTTTCAAAGAAGTTCAGAAGATACTAATTCAGTTCACCCTCAAATGGAATCTGGATATGTTATAGATACTAGTTATATGAGGCAGAAGAATCTCCATGACTTTGATGCCACCCTGGGCTATATACTGAGTTCAAAACCAGCCTGAACTACATAGTGAGACCCTGTCTCAAAATCACAGAACAAACACTTGTGAAAATATGTGTGAAGAAAAAAAAAAGTTTTGCTTGGACACATGCATAAAGCTCATGAAAGTGTAATGTGTTTTAAGTTCTGTGTTTTTTGTGTTAATAGCAGATACTTTGTAAAAAGCATATTTGAATTTATCATCTTGTTATTGGATCAGTAGTTCATTTACTTTCATAGACTTTATCATTGTCAGGTAAATTTTTATCATTAATAGAAGCTGAAACTTGACCTGTTCTAACACACAGCAGTTTGTAAGAAGGACCACTTTCAAATACTGACTGGCTTTGAAAATTAGATTTCAGTTACTTGATACTGGATATTAGTGAATGCAGACTAAGAGTGCAAGACAAATCTTTGTGTACCTGCAAAACATACATTGTGATCAAGTCACTCAAGAAACATACCATTGTAATGACAAAAAGTAATTTTAAAAAATTATGAAAAGTTAAAACAAGAAACAGGATCTTCATGCCCATGCATTTTTGCAGCAGATAACATTATCTGAGCTGAAATTACAGTTGCAGTGGTATTTTTCAGGTCTTTAATTTGCAAAAGAAATTTCCATATTTCTAAAGCCACTTAAATGGTATAAAAGGAACTTCTTACCTTTGCTTAGAAATGATTAATTTGAAATGTAGTGATGTGCTAATACGCACATATCAAAAGAATCTAATAGACTTTTTATAAATGCTTTCTAAATGATAAATATGCTCATTAAAATCATAGGCTCAAAAAACATAGGCTCATGGATATCAATATTTGGCAGTATCTGTATGAAAAAACATTTAAAAAGATTAAATTCATGAAATCTCATTACAGATCAACATTAAGGGATAAACTTTTTTTTTTTCCCCTTTTCTGACAGGGTCTCACTCTGCAGTTCAGGCTGACCTTGAACTCACTATGTATGTAGCCCAGGCTGGCCTTGAACTTGTGGCAGTCTACCTGCCCCAGCTTCCCAAGTGCTAGGTTTACAGATATGGGCTAGCACACCCAACTCTAAGAGATAAACATTTGCAGTCAATTATGATAATAGAAAATAGTAACTTTGAACCTCAATTCTGTGAAAAATTACTTCCACTCCAATTCCAGTCTTTTAAGCGGTAGATCTATAGTATTAAAAAGCTGAACTAAATATTATATTTCAATGCTCAATAGAATTCTTGTGGAAGTTTTTTGTCTCACTTAAGACACTCAATTTTACTTTTTAGCCCGTACCCCCTAAAATTTATGCTACATGAACCTTTAAGAAAAAGTGTTGATGTATGGATTAAAGAATAGATGTTTGCTTTAGTTATTAATTAAAAAGTAGTCTCTTCAAAGGTATTGGCAATTTTATTCTTTTAGTAATATATTGGATGCATGATAAAGTATCTTATATTTTAGAAACAAAATTATATGATGAAATCATCTTTGTAAGTAATGCAATTATTTGAATTTTTATATGTATAGTATACTTTTAAGTGTTCAGGTATTTAGAGTTTCAGTGAAGAAACAGTAATATTTATATAGTTAATTAAAAATTAAGAACAGTTCTTAAATTCTTCTGATAAAATGTTTATTTTATTTATTTATTTATTTATTTTTTAAATTTTATTGAGTTTATTGGTACATTTTAGGGATATAGTACAGTTACAGTCATTGTTGGGATCATGTACCTTTACATGGCAAGTCTTGATTCTCATTTTTTCCCCTTACCTCTGCCCTCCCTTCACCCCCTCCTCCCCTCCCCATCTACAAACACTTTATTTTCATCTTTTCATTCTCTAACATATTTTTCTTTTCCCTTTTTGTTCTTCCCCTACGTATCACCCCTTCCCTACACCTTTAACTCCTTTCTTCAAATTTCTAAATGTCAGTAATCTTATTAGAATCTTATGCATTGTTGCAGAATAAAATGTTTATTTAAATCAAGTCATAATTCTTTCTTTCCATATGGCCTAGAATTTCTCTTTGTACTAGTTAAATATTTCTATAGAAAAACTAGAAACCTAAAAAATGTAATAATAAGTGTTTAAATAAATGTAAAGTAGATATTGACATCCTTAAGTAATAGCCTTTGAAATGATTCTTTGTGTTCCATCATGTCCTCCCAAATAAGCAAGCAAATCTTAGAAAAGTAATTAGTATTCCTTTTCAAATCCTCCTTCTGGCATAATAGTGAAGATTTTCAAAAGACTTTTTAGTGCTCAATATCTTGAATGTTGACTAACTTTATTAAATATTTTCTACATTTCTATTTTTTATAAACTAAGAAATGACACTTTATTACCAGTGCATAAAGAAATTTGGTATTAATTTTAGAAATTAATGTGGATAGACTGTTTGTTCAGAGAGAAATGATAGGAAGTAGTTCTGAGAACATTTAATATATATGTGAATACATACAGCTTTAAATTTGAAAGATGTTTTATGCTGTATGTCTTAGTTGTTACTTTTTCTTGTTGCTGAGGCAAAATACCCATCAACCAACATTAAAGGAAAAGGTTTGTTTTGGATCATAGTTTGTAGAGGTTTCAATTCATAGTTTCTGGCTCCAAGGCAGGGTGGTATGGCAGAGGGACATCACGGAAGAGAAACAGTTCATAGTGGGAAGAAGGTGGGATGGCAGCAAGTGATGAAGAAGCAGCAGCAGCAGTGAAAGTGACAAGCAGTGGCCCTCTTTTCCTTATTATCTATCCAACCTACCCATCCTTTTAGCACTCACACCCAGGGTGGGGCAGATTTATTCCTAGCATCACACCATGAATCAATCCCAACATCACATCCTTGATCCCAACATCATACATCCTATATCAACCACCTCTGAAAAACCCCACCTGTGACCCCCTGAGGCTTTACAGTGACATCTAGATACAAGTCGTAACACTATATTAAGTCTAATCATTTCTTTTTCTAAGTGGCTTGTCATATATAACATAGGCAAAAAATAAACATATATGGATAATGGATAACTAAGCGTGGTGACACCTTCCTGTAATTACAGTACTCTGGGAGGCTGAGGTAGGAGAATCAGAAATTTGAGCCATTTAGTGACTTATTGAGATGAGTCTCAAAAAAAAGGACTGGGGATGTATATATTTATATTAATTAAAGATTGAGATAATTTTGTCATTAAGCATTAAAATTAGAGCAGTCCTAAAATGAGAAAGCTTATTGTGATTTAATATATATCATTTGGCATGATTTTTTCCCCACTTAAATTGTATCTTAACATCTGATTTAACTTTGACTTAAATCTTGTTTTGTAGATGAAGCATTGGATGACTTAAAATCCCAGAAGAAAAAAATAGTAAGTTAACTTTTATTTAATGTTAATTTATATAAACTAGAAAGTTAAGAACTGGATAATTAATGTTTATATGTTATAACTTAATGACTCCCCAAGTATGCTTTTAAATAGTATTTTAATGATAAAGTTAAATTATGAATACTTTTATTAGTTAATAATAATTGACAAGAAAAAGTATTGTAGATGGACTTTTGAAAGTCTGAGAATCTGTGTTAGTTCGAATTAAATAAATCATGTTGGAGAACTAAATGAGGCAGAGTAAAAAGATGGGTACCCAGATTGTTTATTAGAGCTAAACATGGATCAAATATCTACATATGTCAGTTCTTAGGTTTTCTTGATACCATAATGTCAAGAACTAGAAAATCAAGAAGATTCAAATTCAGCATTAAAAGCTGAAACATCTTTCACTTTCTAGTAGTAGTGGTGATCACATGGGTGTCTCTTATTAGTCCAGTAGAAAAGCATTCTTTATCTTTATATGTGTTAGAAAAGAGGTTCAAGAGTCAGAGGAAGGGCCCTGGGTGTTTAGAGATTGTTATATGAGAGTGAGTTGGTCTTGACTTGGTGGTCTTATAATTTTAAAATGTGATTATTTTAGAAGTATGAAAATAGTTGCTGCTAATACATGTTATATGGTAATTTACTAAATTAAATTTAATTGGTGTAAGTGATCAGTGCATTTTTGTCTAGTGTGAAATAAGTTGTTTGTCAGCTTTTAATCATTTTGACAAAATACTTGAGATAATCAATTTATAAAGAGGAAAGTGTTACTTGGCTCATAGTTTCAGCGGTTTCAGTCCATGGTTGCTTAGCCCAGTTGCTTTGACTTTGTGGTAACAGTACATTATCACAGGAACTTGTGGTAGAGGAGGTCTCTTTATTTCATAGCAGCTGAAAGTTAAAGATAATGAGAGAAAGAGGCTGGGGTTCCAGTATTTTCTTTTCTTTCTTTTTTTTTTTTT